CCCCTTTATTATCTGAATGGGGATATGATTTCTGGAAGAATAGACTCTTCAGCGCAGGAATGGTGTCTGAAGCACTAGAAGAGCTGACAGAGGTGTTAATGGGTGCTGTCATCAGAAAAAAAAAAAAAGAAAGAAAAAAGAAAAAAGAAAAAGGAAAAAAGGAGAGGAAAGAGATACTGTTTTTTACCCAAAGCTAAGACACGGGAGAAGAAGCAAGATACTTGATTCTGGAGTGGAGAACTCCACATGAGCACAGACCTGGAGAGGCCCTAAGGAGAGAACATAGATTTTGTGGCATTTGTGGGGAGATGCTGAGAGAGGCAGACTCTACCCAAGGGAAGCATCACAACACGCTACGACGGCAGGTTAACAGTCGCAGTTGATAGAGTGGTAGCTGCTGGCATCCAAGGCTGGCCAAGAGTGCTTTAGAGTGGACAGAAGTGAAAACAGTAGATAAAAAAAGTGTGTAGCCTTGGCAAACACGTTGAATTGAGCATACTTAGCGTGAAGCTGCAGATGCATTTTGGAAAACTGGATAACGTTCCCAACATGTTCTGCTTAAACAGTCAGCCACCATGCTCGGAAGCCCAGTGGAAGCAGTTGAGCCTCCTCGGGGAACGTGGACATGAGGCATCTTCCCCCACATGCCACAAAGACGGGAGCACTCATGGCGAATGCGAAAGAGATGGTCCCTTTGGAAACCATCGCAATAAATAGCAAGGAAGCCAGCAGCCCAAGAGGCTGGTGAAGCAGAAACTACAAGAGGAGGAAGCCAGCGTGGGCACACATCGCTGTGCCAGTTGCCCACTTCTTAAAATGGAAAAGCCAGTTTGGCTGTAGAAACACGGCAGTGAAATAACCCAAAGCATCTGCAGTCCCAGCTCCTAAATACGAACGTCCACTTCCCTCCCAAGACATCATGCCCCTCAGTTTAGCGTGTGATTTAGCTGGAGTAACAGGGCAAACTACAGCCTATGAGCACAACCTCGGAGATGCTGGCAAAGGCAAGAGGACACGGGAAGGAGAGGTGACAGAGACTCCTCTGCCATGAGACAACTGCTCCCCTGGGAGAAGGGGGTAGAACAGGGCGGGGGGAAATGTGGATTTTGGTACCAGGAGAGCACACTTTGCATGGTAACCCCCAGCGCCTCCTCCGGGATGGCTTGCAGGGGTTGTGCATGGTGTTCCGCTCCGTTAGTAATTACTTTTTGCCAGCACATGTAAATAATTATTCTGGCAGGGCTTCCCAGCAGAGAGCTGCGCGCAAGCCCTGCGCGCGGCCGGAGCGCTGACCCCAGCACAGCCGGCTCCGCTGCCTCCCGAGAGCAGCGTGGACGAGATTTTGTGTTCTCACTCGGACCAGGCTGCAACTCCTTGTGTGCGGTACATTTAGGAAACTTACAGTATGTGTACAGGAGCAGCGTATTTCCACAGGAGCAAACTTAGTGCCTTTTAAGGTCTGCTTCCCCTCGGAATTGGTTGTGCAACCCCTCTCTCCCTTGAAGTCAGGCCCTCAGGAGATAAGCTTTGGGGCTAAAAAGATGGGAGAAATATTTGCAGCAAAGGGATGATGGAAGACGCATCCATCAGTGGACATATTCTGTGAGAGGGTTTGTGTGAGTGTCCATGTCAAAGTTTTAAACCCCTGTAAACAGTGGAGCTTCCAACGGCAGCGAGAATCTTTGCAAGGCGATGCGCCCTGCATGCTGTGACACAGCACACCTTTCACCCGGTGATGAGCCGCTTTCCAAACTTCAACAGTGCCCTCAAGTGCTCACAAGGAGAAGCCACAAGCCACGGGCGGAGCGCGCTGCTGTCCACGTTGTGGACAGAAGGGGCGAGTTTGTGCAAAGCTTCAATAGCCACCGGGGGAAGGACGTGTTTGCATGGGCTTGAGCTTGCCCTCACATCATCCACCCGCACAAAAACTGATGTTCCCGTCGCTGAACTAAATCAAAACGCTGTGTCAGGCTTTTGTTCTCCTGTGTGGGCAGATGCCTGGTCTGCACCATACATGCAGGTGCATATGTCAAGGGGCATAAAGCAGCCCTTGTAGATGTGACTGATGGAGTAACCACAGCCAGCTGGAGATCCTGGGCCCAGCTCTGCAGGAAACATTGCAGAGGCCTTACAAGCGCAGGCACACTGATGGCATTGGAACGTGCGGCTTCCTTTGCCTTCTGGCTGTGGATTCCAAAAGACAAGTTTCCAGTTCCGTTCTTGCTCTCTGCCTGGATCATTGTCGGTGTAATTGTACTACTTCCCTGTCATCTCCATGCACCAAGATCCACCACCTCCAAGGCCGAAGACCACAGCTGCCCTAAGAGCGCTGCCACCCTCCTCTCAGACCGCATGGAATCGTAGACACTGCTGGGCACAACTGCCACTGCAGAGCTGGTTTCAGCAGAGAGCCATGACTTAGACACCTTTTGCTGCACCGCCTTGGTTTGGGCCCTGATGGGCTTTGCAGGAAAGGTTTCGCTGCTCCAGAACACATGTACCACACGGCACATCTCCTCCTCTGCTCTGGGTCACTGCCACCACCACCGAGTATGAGATTACCCTGGCAGCAGGTACAGAAGTGGCAGTGATGAGGACGGCCATCCCAGGGTCCTGGGCAGAAATCTCTGCCCTTTGTCTCACTGATGATCTTGGAAAGCACCAACCTTTCACTGCAGCAGATGGACAGCACATTTATTACCCTACACAACCCTCTCATCATCTTTAGGTCCGTTGCTGCCAGCAGCCACAGAGCAAAAGCTACCACTGACTTCTCAGAGCCTCAACATTAACCCCCTTGGATCAGCACTGCCCAGTGGGTAAAAATAATGAGATTTAGGCCCGGTGGTATTTTCACAGGGACGTCTTCAGTACATAAATAGGAGCTGGTGTGAGCAAACTTGTGGGGCTGGAATTGACAGCTGTAAGAAAGACAACTTGTTGCATGAGAGGCTGGCAAAGGTCCGGGTGAAAGCACACGACGTCCGAGCAGTTCCCCCAGGAATCTCTCCACACCGCCACGAGAAACTGGCCTGGCCAAGCCTGCCTGTCTTGCAGTCACTAAATCCGACCTTGAAACCTGCTGCTGTGATGCCATTTGTACTGTAATGGTCAAAAGGGCCGGCTGTGCCGCTCACAGATGAGGCTCGCGGCCAAAAGCGGTGCCCTTGCAGAGCGAGCACATCCCAGAGCAGGGCAGGTACGATCACGACATTGTGGACGTCTAATTAACACCCACTTGTTCACAAGCTGATCTGCCCAAACACAAGCCAGCTCCACGGTTTCATCTGCATCCCTGTAGGGATGGTTTGATAGCAGACAGGACCCACAATCCTAGACCATGCCAGCCTGGCGCTGCTCCTTACCAGGCTGCACACAGCTTGGTTGCAATATTACATAGTCAAGGATATTATCCTGACATCCCCCAAATTTCAGCATTTAGCTGTAAATTAGCACTTGCTGATAACAAATGAGTTAGCTCATTAAGCCTCCTAAATCCATCAATAGATGGCAGCAAATAGCCCTGGAAACACAAGTGGCAGTGCCTCAAGCTGCTGCTCCCTGCGCTGCCTGGAGTGTCCTAAGCCTTGGGTGAGAGGTGTCCCTGTGCCTGGACCCTGAGAGCAGGCACAGGGCCCCCCAGAAGCTCCTTTATGTGGCTTACTTCAGTCCCAGTATGGGTCACCTCATACCAGTGCAGGGGGAATTCTCCTTCATAGGGGGATCAAACCGGTGCTGCTCAGGCGTGCAAGCTGGCCACGCCGCAACCGTTTAAGAGAGCACAAAATCACACTCAGTGCAAATGCCCTTGCGTGGAGCCGCTTTAGCAGGGAGCCCCCCACCAAAGCAGCCCCCCGGCCCAGCGCGAGGACAGCAGACACCTGCCTCCCCGCGCGCGCTGCCAGCCCAAGCAAGCGGCGTGCTTGAAGGCTGGCCAGCTTCTCCCCGCTGCTCGCTCGGGGGCTGCCTGGCCCCACGGCACAAGGCTGACAGGTAACGCGGCCCTCCCCTTTCCCTTCCTGCTCGCTGAGGCCATCTGGAAACTCTCAGAGCCCGCCGAAACTAAACGCACCCAGAGGCCCCCTCCAGGCTGCGCACTGGGTCGGGTTACTGACAGAAAGACAGGCAACGTAAACACACACGACGGCACAGCCTGGCTCTTGAGGAGAAACAGAGTGCCCTGCGTGTGCCAACGCTGAAATGAAGTGCGCTCCCGTCCCCCGGGCCACCCCTGGCTGATGTTGTCCACGAGCCCCCTTTGCGGCTGCCTGCGTGGGCTTCCCAGCCCGCAGGGTCTGTGGCCTGCAAGGAGGCCACGGGAGCACGGCACCACGGCCACTGTGCGGGAGCCACCATCGCCCCAACACAGTCGCGCCTAACACAATGAGGGCCCAGTTCTACTGCCAGGGGGCTGCGGGCCACATCCAGGGTAACTGGGGTGCTCCAAGGGACTGACAGAACTGCGGTGGGTGCTGCAGGGCCTGGGAGAGGGCCATCAGGGACGTGACAGGGGTCTCAGCACCCAAACTGGGCTAGTTGTGAGGGGTTACAGCAATGGCACCGAGGGCGCCAACATGGCGCCCTCCTCCCTCCCGGCGCCCCCGCGCGCGCGTCACGTGTCCCCGAGGGAGGGGAAGGAGCAGGCGAACTGCGCATGCTCAGCACCCCCCCCGCCCCCACCAATTCCCCTGCGTCACGTGCCGCGGGGGCGCGCCCGCCGCGGCTTCAAGATGGCGGCGCGCAGCGGGGCGGGCGGCTCTTGTTGAAGCTTTATTGTTCCCGCCGCCGCCTGGTGTCGTGTTCGCCGCGCCGCGCCCAATAAAGGTAACCATGGCAACATGGCTTCCGTGGCGGCCTCCGCGCGGTGCCCGGGCCTGGCCGGGAGCGGCGGGCGGAGGGACCCGCTCAGCCCGCCGCTCCCCCCGCTAGGCCGCCCCGAGGCTCCTCTCGCTGCTCTCCCCTTGCTGCATCGCCTCGGGCTGGGGGGATGAAGGGAGGCGGCATGGGTGGATGCTGCCCGGGTTGCTGTGCTGGATGCTCGGTGAGAAGGGCTCTTGGGGAAGTGTTTGGTGGGACGCGCCTCTCCCGAAGAACCTCCCTTTGGACCCTCATCCTGCCAAGAGCAGGTGGCCTGCATAGCTGCTGCAGTAAATGTGTGGTAAAAGTGCTTCAGAATATACTCCCAGAAGCAAGAACAGGTCTGTCAGAGCTCCCGTGCCGGGAGCCTTCAAACCTGATTCATGTTTTGTGCTCCTCGGGGCCCTTAGACCCGTGTGAGCGCGCTGTTACCTTCATGAGCAGAAGCTTCTCTGTGGTAGAGCTGTGCAGCCTCCCTTTGAGCCCTCTCATTGATGTCACCTGATGGAAAACTGACCCCTTGGATGAGCTCTTCTGTTGTATCCATGAGCAGTCGGTCCGATCCAGTCCCTCTTGCGATCACCAGTTGGACAGAGGCTCTGTGGAGGAGCGAGTATAAGGGACAGCGGGGAGCAGGGCTGCCCCTTTTAGCAACAACCTATTCTCACATTTGCAAAATGTGCTGTGGGGAGCCTTATCTTTCAAACCCATCTCTTCCTCCTCCTCTTTACCCCTGAACAGTACCTGAGCTAGGCTGTGGATAAGCCTCTGGTGGGATTTCTTTTCTGGGGAAGGCTGTCAGGCCTACTTTACTGGACTCTAGGTAGCATAAAGCAGTGTGATTCTGCAGCCGTTTGGTTAAGATGTGCCAGCTGTTTTGTGTTTGAGGAGGAGTTTGGGCTTCACTGTCCAGGGATGCTGCAAACAACTGACCAGAGTTGAGTTGAGTCACTGACCAGAACCAGGGTCTTCTCCCCACCCTCAGTGCCTCACTCATTCCTGCTTGTTTTATCTCTTCTTTCAGTGCCTTTGAGTTAACTACAAACACATATGGATGCAGTGACCATGAGATGTTGGAGCTCACAATCCTGTGAGGAGGTTGTGGAGGTTCCTTCTTTGGAGATCTTCAAAACTGGCCCGGGTGTGACCCTGCGCTCTAGATGTCCCTGCTTGAGCAGGGCAGTTGGACTAAAGGGTCTCTAGAGGTCCCTCTCAACCTCAGCCATTCTGTGATTTTGTGATATATTGCTTAAAAGGGGTAGAAAATGCATCTGCGTTAGCTTAGCCGTAACTCTATGGTTATAAAGCGTTTTCCAGGAGCTGCGGGAAGTAAATGGGCTTCCTGGGCAAATGCTGTTGGGCTTTTACATTGCTCCGTGCTCCCCTGGCTCTGCTCTAGAGCGTCTGCACTCGCTTCCTCTCAAGAAATGTTGTAGATCCTTCTGGTCCCCCCAGGAGCCTCGGAGCTGTGGAGACAGCTGCCTGATGCCTGGGCACAGGAGGTGCAAAGGGTGGAATTTCAGATGCCTCCTGCCATCCTCTCCGGAGAGATCCGGCTCAGTGCTTAAGTCTCCTCAGGTGCTGCCAAGAGAACCCCTGCACTTAACTTACAAACTTAACTGCACTTAACTAACAAATCTCAGGAAATACTTGGTCTCTTTTTGGGCTGACTGTATTTAAGCAGGGTCATTTTAAAGCTTTCCCTTTTGAGCTTCAAGAAACTTTTTGGTCTGAAGATCAGGCCTTTTTTACACATGCATCACACGCTGTCTGTCCTTGGTTTTAGGTTGGAGTATCTTCTGCACTTCACTCATGGCAAAGTGGATCCCAGCAGCTTGTTAAGGCAGCGTTGGTTTTGTTGTTATTTTTAAATAGCCACTAACAAACTGGAGTGTGGAAACTTGTTTGTGTAAACCTACTTGAAAAGCAGGAGTTGAAGGTCAGACTTTTATTTCTGAGGATGTTATGGAAAGCTGCAAAACCTAATTAGCGTTTTTCTCGTTCTTGGGCACAGAGAGACATGGATGAACAGAGACTGGAGCAAACGTTGGGTTGGTGTTTGTCTTCCCATATCATTTTGTTCCCTGATTGGGATTGCCGTGTGCCAAAAGGGGTAGGCAACAGTCATTGCTTTGAATGGTAATGTAAAACTTGCTGTTAAAGACTCAGAACTGCCCGTTCCCGTTCCCGTTCCCTTTCCCATTATATATCCATTCAGAGCATCAGTGCACACTGATAGCCAAAGTGCTGCTTGTTTTCTGTAAAGTATATTCCGCTGCCTTTAAAGCCTGAGGAACACTGAATATAGTCAAAAGTGTTGCTTGTTTTCCTCTGTTATCTGTCTGCACTGATGCTTTGAAGTGAAATAAAATAGATTGAAAAGCAAATTGGTGTGCCCTGGCTCCTCAGTCTGAATTTTACATTATCTTCCGAGAGTGCCGCTTGCTCTGGCCCTTTGGAGCTCCCCAGAGAAAGGTAATGACCCCTCAGCCTCTTTCAACTCTTCAAAGACTGAATTACTTTTGGTGGGAGAGGAAAGAAAATTGAATTGCAGGACATAATTTTCCAACTTTCCAATAACCCTCTCTGTAAGGTCAGCATCTTGGTAACGAGAAAACAGGAAACTGGTAAACACCTGCAGAAAGGCGTTAGATGCTGAGTTAAGGCTGTCGCTGTCCTTAACTCCTCTATTGGCTCAGAGCTAAAAACAGAAGGTCCCCCGTGTGTTGAGAGGGCTGTAAGACCCAAGAGACTGCAGGGATGGGGAACACAGGAGATGGAGGCTCTATTTTCTGCTCCTCTGTTTATTGATTTAGAGGGGAGGCTTTGGAAAGAGCCTTTGAGTAAGTGCAAAGCCATAGGGTGAACTGCTCGTGCAGCCATGGGAAGCTGCCAAGGTGAGACGTGAGCTTGTGCCGACGACCATCTCAAGCAGAAGGCAGAGGGGAGTGCAAAGAAAAGAGTCTCGAGACCCTTGCAATCAGCTGTAGCAAAAGTGAGATTTACTTAGGACAGCAGATTTGCATTCTCCCTCTTCGCTTATCTCTTTCCATTCACTCTAGTTTTGCTGTCTGCTTTGCATGCGTGCACTGAAAAACCGAAACAAAGCCATTTCTCCTTGTGGCTTTGCGCTGGAGGCCGTGGATTGCCATGAAGAGGCTCAGCCATCTGTCTGGACATTGCATTTACGGCTGCTGCTGCTGCACACGGGGAGCAGTGCCCGGGAGCAAGGTGCTGTCAGCAGAGGGAGCACAAGACTGCAGGTTCCAGCATTTAAAAAACTCCCTTATGGGGCTGCTTAAGTTCTTGCCAAAGTGACCAAAATATGTATTTTTGAAAAGCAAATGAAAACCTTAGCCTCCTGTCCGTCCCCCAGCAGAGTTTCTGGCATGAACCGGGATCCTCCTCCACGCAGAGAATGGGTTTGGGGGAGTATTTTATTAATGCCAGCGAGTGTGTTGGTCAGCACCTTGTGACAGCTATGGCAGTGAGTGACACGTGAGCTCTTTTTGCTGATGCTGTAGTGGCTTTGAATTCTTCCTGTGTGCACCCGTTCTAAGGCTGTGAGAGCTGTGACAGCCCTCTCACTGTGAGAGGCTACATCTCTGCAGTGGCTGGTTGCTTAACTGCTCAGTCCTAAATTTCAACCATCTTCTGATGAACGTAGTGATGTGGAAAGCTTTGAGCTGGTCGAACATGGATCAAAGTAATTATGTGAATAATGAACAGAAATAGTTTAATTGGGAAACTTCTTTTGAGTTACGTAGATGGTGTATGGGATATTTGAGACCCTGTAATTAAAGAAGTAAAATATGTTTCCACAAATAGATGTGCTCTGCTCAGCACATGTAGGCCAGGATGTGATAAAGGAGGAGAGGTACCTTAAGCCTGGGCTGTGATGTGTAAATGCATCTGCTCCCGTGGAGACAGTGAGCAGAAGGTGCTGCTGCCTTTGGCCTTATGCATAAGGCAACCCGTGGCAAAGGGAACAGGCTTCTCCTCTTCCCAGGCTTGGATGGCTCCTGCTTGTCTCCTCATAAGAAGAGCCATGGCTGTTATTACTTAACCAGCAGACCCAATTTCAGTGCAGATCCTGGAAGCTCTTCCACGCCGGGGAAGGAGTGGGTGGACTAACACTGCTGTTCCATTAAGCCTGGCGAAAGGCACAACTTTCTTCTCCCACGTCCAGCAGTGACTCTGTAGACGTCAGCTTAATTATTCTTGATTTACAACAGTGTGGGAGTCGGGAGGTGTTTAAGAAGCTTGAAGTGCAGGTGGCCAGTCCTGCGCACAGGTGAGTGGAGGTGCATGTGGTGCTTGGAAAGCAGTAAGGATGAGGCTCCCTGTGCCTTCCTGCAGACATGGTAGCTGCTGCCCTGCTGAAACCTGTCCCTGGCAGCAGATGCTGCCTCCTGCAAAGCCCGAGCTCCGCAGGGGCTCCCACCTTGTGGGAGCGAAGGGCCTGCTCGCCTGGCATCCACTTCCCACCTGCAGGAATCTGCTGGGAAGTGGGGTTTGCCCCTTGTTGCAGTCCTGCTTGTCCTCAAAGCCGCAGTTCCAAGCGATGCGTGAGCCGCAGCTCATGGAGCCGCATGCCCTCATGACAGGCAGCATCACTGCTGCTCCCTATGGGAGAGTAGGAAGCAAAATGCGGAGATGTGAAGAGGCTGGAGGTCACGAGTGTCATGCCCATCCTGGAGCTCTTCTGTTGGCGATTGTGCTGATTTGTTGCAGCATCAGCGTTAGGAGTCCTTGCTCGTAGGCAAGGCAGTAACATCTCTATCTTGCCTAGATTAGATAAAAGAATCTAGGTGTCCTGCTGATAAAAATTCTGTTGGCAGATGCCCTATTAGTGTTTCACCTGCTGCAGCAGGAAGAAAAAAAAACAAGAGAGGACCTAAGAGATGGGATTAGGAGTGTGAGCTGTCACTCCTGGATGTTGTTTGCTCTCTCTTTGCACTCGGAAAGGAAGTCGTGGAGACCCTGGAGACTTTCCTGGCTCTGATGTCCCTGCCGCTCTTAGCTGTGCTGTGGGGAGAAGCTTAACTGGTCCCAAACCATTTAGTAGGTCAAATCCAGCAATTCAGATTCTCTTCTGAGAATATAGAGAATGTGACTTTGGCATGGGGCTTGTTCTTGCTGTAACCACTTGATTGCAGCATAGTAAATTAGTAGGGTGTGTAACCAGTAAGCAACATTAGCTTGCTGTTTATTTCCATCTTGCTGCTGCTCAGTGATCAAAATGCTAACAGGACCTTTTTTATCTTTTTCTCCAGCTGGTTCTTGAGAAAACTGAGCACCCCAGAGCAAGACAAGGCCAACGGGCAGCATGGAGCTTCCCAGTTACAGCAAGCAGTTGCTGCAGCAGCTGCATGCCCTCTGCAAAGAGCAGCAGTTCTGCGACTGCACCATCTTCATCGGGACCGTGCATTTTAGAGCACACAAGGTTGTTCTGGCTGCTTCCAGTCTGCTTTTTAAGTCCTTGTTGAGTAGCACGGACACCATCTCCATAGATGCTTCTGTGGTCACTCCGGAGGAGTTTGCACTTTTGCTGGAGATGCTGTACACTGGTAAACTCCCACTGGGGAAACACAACTTCACCAAGGTCATCTCTGTGGCAGACAGTCTGCAGATGTTTGATGTGGCTGTTAGTTGCAAAAACCTCCTCAGAGAGCTCATCAGTTGCTCGACTCGGGACCAGGTAGTGAGAGGTGTCTCCAGCCAGGTCACAGACTCATCTGTAAGCAATATTGAAGCTAATAATCCACCCCAATTTGAGAAACCTCCTTCTGAAGTAAAACCAGATACCCTTCTGCCTCAGAAAACTCCCTCTTCTCCTGGTCCTGTAGAAGTAGAAATGGAAGCAGATGTTTCTGGCCAAGAGCTTGCTGTGAATCACGCTTTGGTTCATCAGGATGTAATGCCAAGTGACCCCAAATCCCTCGGGGAAGAGTCAAGTGCTCGTTCAGATCCCCGTTGCCATGCGGAGCAGGACAGCTATGTGGAAGAGGAGATTGCTGAGCCTCTGGAGAAAAGAGGAAGAATTGATGATTTAGGTGAGAGATTAAAGGTCTGGAGATTGTTTTTGTCAGTCCTGAGTTGTGAGCAGCTCTGAAATCTACTCCTTTTCTGAAAGAGGCTTCTTTCCCCTTGCACTGTGCAATACCCTCCTTTTCCCTGTGTGGTTGTTTCACCATTTTACCATACTTGGCTTGCGTGTGGATGTGCTTGCATCTGATGTGCTGTGGAGTCTGCATGCAGAACATGAAGCAGGTAAGACTGTACAGCAGAAGTGAACAGAGATCCCTACTTGTGCTGCCTCATCCTGTTCAGCATGGAAGGAAAACAGAGGCTATATTGGGCTTAAAATAAATGTTCCATATATAACTAGTGTTAAAGAAGCTGTTGGTTTTCCCTCCAGGCTGCCGGGTATCTTTAGGAGGGATTTATGAGTCACAGTTTTGCTTTTATAGCCAATATGCTGGTTACAGACTGATGCTTTTCAACCGCATGATGCTCTCTGTGAATCCCTTCAATTAGCAAATAACTCATCTCCTTTCTCTCACGCAGCACCAGAGAGCAAAAGCTGTAAACTGGATTTCTTTCTTCAGTATGAAAGTGTTTTCTCTGAGGCCCTGTCTGATGTTCAGACCGTGCTGAAGAGACTAGAAGAGTACCAAGAAATTGATGCCTCTCAAAGGGAGGTAGGTGTATTTACTGGATAAATGATATAAATGATACACCCTTGGTTTTTTGGTCTGCTCTGCTGAGAGCTGGAATAGTTTGGCCCCTGTTTAGGAAGTCTTTTTTTGGGGGGAAGCAGATGCTCTGATGCTGTGTTGTTTGAAGGGCAACACGTGCTCCCCTGAGCTCCCCTTAGAGAAACATCTGTGGGAGCAAGCTGCTCGTGCACACAGGTAGGGAGGTATGTGCCCGTGTGCCGCCTCGAAGACACCGTCGTTGTGCGGCAGGGGAGCTTCGACATTGCTTTCTCTCCTCCCGTTTGTGGCAAGTGCTTCAGGACCTGCCTCGGTTTATAAAAGACAGACACGAGGTCACAAAATGGACTTGTCCGGGTGCATCTGCTCTGTCCCACATGGCACAGGCCCCTCCTAGGGGCGTTGGATGCAGACGTGCCCCGTGCTGGCCTGTCATCCCCTGGCGCTTCTCGTGGCCGTGTGCCATTCGAAAAGCAGGCGTCGCTGACGGGCACCGCTCGGGTTAATGTTGAAGGATATTTGAGACGGGTGCTCAGTTAGTGCTGCAGGGTATTCTGGGCTTTGAGCGACAGATGCCAGCCGTTGTGCCGGCTCAAAGCCACCGAAAAGCCAGCAAGTTGCTTCCACAGCAGCACTGCTGTCCTTACTGCATTTGCATAACAACTGTGCAATGGCATGAGGAGCCTGAAAAGAATTCTGCCAGTTTGCAGACTGAACCTCACATTGGCAGCCCTTTGCCAATATATAAAATATATATATTTTTAACTCGCCCAGATTTTGTTTTTGGTGGAGCTGTTCTTAGGCCAGATTGTCCAGTTGCATGAGTTGCCCTGTTTACCTTTTCTGCATGCACAAAATCAAAAGTGTATCTATTTTGTTACTGACTCTTCAGCAGCTCCATGGTTTGTTGACCTTTCAAACCCTGGAAACTGTTTCTTGGGATGCTGAACTGCTCTTTGCATCCCCAAAGCTTCCTGGATAGAAAACCACATGGATTTGTCAGCTCGGCTCTGTTGTGTCCACAGTTTAACTATGCAGTGTGGGGCCTTTTGGTCATGACAGCTTTCTCCTTTTGAAAACTCAAGCCAACATCTTTATTTGAAAACACATACTGCAGTGAAGGCGGGAGGAGAATTCTCTTAAGTTGGGAAATGCAAATTTCTTTTCTGATCAACTTTAGAATGTTTGTGCGAGAGAAAAGTCCTTTGTTCCCTTAGCTGCAGTGGCCTTCACGAGACTTGTTTGATGGTGCTGCACTTAAAACCCTTGGGGTTCTAAGAGGTAGAAGTAGGTGCCTTTTGTGTTTGCAGGAGGAAGTCCCTGGGCCGGCAGATACCTTCGAGTGTGTTTTTTGTTTTTGTTTTTTTTTCCTCAGAATTCCTTGTACCCTACAAAAAGATTAGATTTTCATTTGCTCTCTCATCTTTTTAACTAAAACGTAACTCTGTTTTAAGGCTTATTCTGCACCTTGGTATCTGGTCCTGCGTCTGGACCAGAGCCTGACAGAGGGCACTGGAGCCGTGTGATGTGTCCGAGCACGGTGCCAGGAGGGAGCTGGCAGCCAGCCCATGCCATGCTGCACACACAGCGCCTGTGGGCACGCTCTGCTCGCTTGCTCGTGTTGCCTCCCACTGTTGTAGGACAGAGAGACACATGCAAAATGACAGGCCCCGTGTACTGCACTGGCTTCCTCTGACATGCCTCAATTTTCTGTAATTTTCCTCTGTTTTCTGTAAATTTTCTGGTAGCTGTTACGTTTTTTGTTTCTTCAGTGCCACTAACGCCCTGCTCCTGCAGATGAGTCCGTGGGCCGTGCTCTGCTCTTCGGACTCCCAAATGAGTTGCATTAGCAGGAGCCAAATGGGAGGTTTTAGAGCTCAAAGACAGTTTGGATATCTGACCGCAGAATGGCACCTGGACAATTTTTTTTTTCCTGTCGCTATAAATAAGTGCTGAATAAATGAGAAATGGATTTTCTTTAAGCCTTCCAGAAAAATCACTTCTCGGCTGCGACAAGCATGAAAAGTGTCAGCCCCAAAGGTAATGGGGAGAGGAGGGGGAACTGCTGCCTATTGTAAGTAAGGGCTTAGACAAAAACTCTCCTCTCAGCCAGATCTATCGCTTTCCGAGCTCCCTGCTGCGATAAGCAGGATCCCTAGGCACCAGCACCAAATCCAGGCTCTGTTTCCAGCAGAGGGAGTAGCTTTTTCCCACCGAGGCCCAGCGTTTTCTTTGGGGGAACACAGTGGCACGTTTTAAAGTCGTGCTGAAAGTGCAAGTTCAGCTCACCAGCCCCCAGCTCGAGATCTGTAATTAAGGCTGAAACTGTGTCAGTGGAAGGAGTCAACAAATTCCTCCTCGACTATTTCCCCCCTCCTATTATGTTGTTTTACCATTCACTTGCTTGAAGTCTCTCAGCTGCCTCAGGGCAAGTAAAAGTGAAGACGGCGAGGTGACCATAAGGAGATCACGCGATGAGTGGAGCCAGCTTTGTTTCAGAGGAGGTCGTTTGGCTGGGAGCGCTGCGCTGGGGCTGAGCAGAGGGCTCTCTGGGCATCCCTGGTGCTCGTCCTCTTGCTGCCCACAAGGCTTTTGGGGGTAGCCCTGCTCTCCAGCAAGCGCTGTTGGGGTTTGGACGCCAAACCCGGGCAAGGTGCAGGATTGCGGACAGCTCATTGGGGTTCACGGGGAATTTGCCAGGCTGCCTGTTAGGCAGAGGCTGTTCTGACTTTAGGGCACCTTGGGTTTCAGCAGGAGTTTGCCTTGGATGTGGGACCCCGTGTGTCCCACTCCTCCTGTCTGTGAATGGAGCACCTTGCTCCGTACCGCGGGCACGCGGCCTTGCCGGGAAGGGCTCGCGCCGTGTCCCTGTTTTCTCCCCTTGGGCAGCGCTTCCCCATTTCCCAGCACCTCTGGCTGAGATCTGTTAGGTTGCAACTCTCCCCCGCCACAAGGAAATTCATGGTGCAAGGCTGACTTTTCTGAGAAATCTTATTTCTTTCTCTAAGTTTGCTTCTGCTTTCTGTTTCCTGGGCTGAAAAAAGCAGAAGTGCCCTCAATGAGTTGGTTTTCTATTTAGGGAGATGTGATTTTTTTTTTTTGAAGGGGGGAGGCTGCTGTTTTGCTTAGCATCTTTCTGTGCATCTCACACAAACTATTCCCATCTAATTTGGCTTTGGCTTGGATGAAACCTGCATGGAAACGAGAACAAGCCTGAAATTGCAGTAATTTGGGGAGGCATCGAAGAGCTTTGCCGGTGTCAAGTCTTATCTTCCTGTGCTCTCTTAAGAGAAACTCAATTCAAATTATTGCACAGCTCATTTGTTCCCTCCGCTACTGGGTACAGATGAAGTGGGGGAGTGTTGAATCTCCCCTGTAAAATAGATGTCACGGTGCTCGTGGATCATTTCCATCGTGTACGGGCCTGTCCAATTATTGTCATCCTTTGTTTGCAGCCGCAGGAATTTCGGGATGCAGCATAAGAAATGAGGCGCCTGTGTCCCCTGCATCCTGATTAGGAGCGATGGCTGGCGGCTTTGCTCCTGTTCGTCGTGGCAAAGCTGGAGGCTTTTTCCTGCCCTGTGTGAGGATACTTGTGTGGAAGCCTGGGTTGAGGTTTTGCCCTTGCTGCGCAGTGAGCTGCTTGCCAGGGAGCTGCCCTGTTCCTTCCTCCTGCTGGAGGCTCCCATGGTTCACGTGCAAGTGCAGGTTTGAAAAACCAAAAGGGTCTGATATAAGATGGGAGTATACACACACACACATATATATATATATTTCTTTTTCTCTGTGATTCTTGCATGCACAACTTCCACAACAAACTGATGGTGATGTTGTGACCCTTACCCACTGGAGTCCTCCCCTTTGCAAGCCGCAGGTCTCCTGAGGTAGGAGGCTGCCCAACAGCACGTGCAGCTCTCCTTTGAGAGCATGCAAATAGAGGTGAGCACAATTTACCTTGTTCAAGGGTATTTTTTTTTATTTTTTATCTGAACGTGCCTTGGCTTGTGAGAGTGAGCGAACGGTTTGAAGGCAGAGTAGGTTCTGCTTTGACCCTAAGTTGTGTGACTTTCCAGCCTGTCCTTTGAAGATCTCTTCCCACCATCCTTTAGATGTTTGATTAGTTCTAAAGCTGCTGTTTAAAGTGGGGTGACTCAGTTAGAAAAGTGGCTTTTTGCAGAAATCTGCTGCTGAGCCAGGAGTGCTCAGGCTTGAGATGCGCTCTAGCCATGAGGCAGGTTTATCAGCAAGACAAGAAAAGCCCCAAGATAGCTCGGTGTTCATCCACATATGGGGAAGGACAATGGCTCTTTGGGCTAGCGGCCATGGAGACCCAGCTCTGCCCTCCTCTTTCTCTCCCATTGTCTGTGGAGAAGCTTGTAGAGAAATGTGGGATTTGTATCCCTGGGAATTTGTTGGCTTGTTGCAACACAGTGGGACAACCCAAGTCCCCTTCAAAGAGTGCATGGATCATATTCTGATTGTGGGGTGGCCTTTCATGAAAAATGCACATGCTATTTGATCACAGGGCTTGGCCTAAATTTAAGGAAGTGCATTAGCAATGACGTGTTGCTCCAGGAGTCTTTTCAGCAGAGTTTTTACAAACTCTCTGGTGTTTGTTTGTAGAAATTCCCATTGAGAACTTGCCTCAAAGCCATGGTGGAACTAGGGAAGTTGGAGCTGAACTGGTGCTGCGAGGGCTTTCTCGTGGGTTGCAACTGATGTGATGGTGAGCGTGTCTGTGAGCTCTTAGGAGACACTGTGGACACCAGAGCTGATGCCCTCAGGACTAAGTTTTCCGATGGATGTTGAACAGAGCACAAGTTCGATGCAGCTTTGAGTGCCTCTGTTTCCCTGTCCCGAAAGCCTCTGCTGATGGGTAGTAGGTTGAGTCAGTGCTCAGCTTGAGCGAGGCCATTGAGCTAATATCTTGGCATGAACAAAGCAAGCAGGAGCTTCTGGGTTCCAGAAAGCTGGGTGGATTTTTTCCGTGAAGGATTTTGTTTCCCAGGTTGGGACACTTGCAAGCTGATGGGTCAGGCTGTAGTGCCCGTGCGGTGTGGTCCTTTGCTTCTCAAGCCCTTTACATTGAGAAGGATTCCCAACCTTAATTGCAAGTGCAATTCCTTAATTCCAAGCGCAAAAGTGCAAGTTGCTTCATACGGGTGGTGGAGGGGGGAAACCCTGGGTTTGTCAGGGCGCTGAACGCTTTGGGGGAGATGAGTTGAAGCATTTTAAAGGATTAATCCCATCTGGAAAGGGCCCAGGCATGCAAGTCTTGAACAAACATGGCCTGGTTCTCAACTCTCATTACAAGCTGATGTTTGCATGAAAAAGAAAAAAATACCAAAGAAAAAAAGTTCTTGGGCACGTCCGCTGCATCTCTTTTAGTGCTTTATAACGGAGCCCTTCATGTCCATGTCTCTCTGTTCGGCAGGAAAAGCGCCGTGAGCAGGTAAAAGCTGGGACTCCTGTAGCCCTCCCCGTGTGGATACTCTTCACAACAGGTCACGCAGCCCCAAAATAGGAGCGTTTACACCAGCTTAGGAAGAGCAAGTCCACCATCCCCCTGGTGTGGCCTCAAGCAGTTACATTGAGCCTTTTTATCATAGAAATAAAAATGACAATGACAGCAGAAAATGGCTGTTCTCTCCAGAGCCAGGCTAAGCTCTCTACTTCAAAGGTACTTTTATAGCATCCCTGGAGTCCCTAATAAAGGCTGCGTGCTCGGAAAGGCCGGCTTCTCTCCTTGAGAGCCGGGGAGCGGGTGTCTTGAGGGGTAATATTTACAGCATTAAAGGGCTCCGGGGAAATGGGAGTAAGAGCTCCAGCTTATTTCTTTCCCTTTTATTTCTCAAACTGTGCAGGCGTGTTTGCTTCTGGTTGCTGTTTTGGGTTGCAGTAGTGGATTTTTGGTGCTCTGGGTGTGACGCGGCCTTTGTGTACATCGTCTCCAAAGCTTTAGCTGGGAGTCTCAACTCTGTTGTGACTCGAGGACAGAGTTTCCTAGATGGAAATACTCTAATTCCTAAGCACATGGTCTCCTTTCTTTCTTTTTTTTTTTATTTTTTTTTTTAATTTTTATTTTATTTTATTTTTTTTTTTATGGCAGTGTAATCTAATATTCCTTGCCCCTAGTCTTGGCTTTCTAAAAAAGCAGTGTTTAAAACACATTTAGGCCTCTTAAAATCATTAGCATTTGGCTCTTAAGAAAGATCCTGTCTTGTCTATCAGCGAACTGAGTTTCCATACTCACCACCCTAGAATTAATCTCCGAGATCATTCTACTTTTTGTGTAGATGTGCACAGTTAATTCTGTCCTTAAGCTTTCCCTGCATTTTCCCGTTCTTCTGTAGGCACTGGTGGCCTGTTTGGAAGATATGGAAGAAGAGTCAGTGTTTAAGAAACTCCTGGACAAAGTGAAGGAGGAGCAGAGCCTGGATGCTCAAACCCTCGTGTCTTTCCTGAAGCTGTTTCAAGACACGAATCCCCAGCTAAAAGCAGCCCTCTCAGAGAGTGAACTGGACGGTGGAGAAGCCCTGCAGCAAACAGGTAGGGAAGGGGATGTTGCCTTTGGCCAAGTGGCTGTGCAGGTGTGTGGGCAAGGCAGATCTTCCCCAAGCTGCTCTTGTCCCCTTTGGCAAGCTGCAGCACTTCAGTGTTTTGTTCCAGTCCCATCTCCTGGTGATATGTAGTAGGTGTATCGCACACTTACCAAGATCCTGGGTCATTTCCATCCCACAGCCGTGGGTTTGTGGGAAGCATAGGGGTCTCGGGGGCATTCTGCAGCTATCGTGACCCTATCGATAGCCGTGCCGCCCGTGTGGGTCAGAGCACAGCTGAGCAGCGGGGTTGAAAGCTCCTTTCTTGCTCGAGTCTGACACAAAGCAGTGGCCTTGCAAACCTGGTGTTAACCTCCAGCTTGCTTTATGGCTTTGTGCTCCGTTAGATAAATGAGACGTTTTCCTTTCATAGAGTTTAAAGAGAATAGCAAAGTGGCTTTTCCTCTGCTGCTTGTGCTTAGGATGAGCTTTGCTATTCACTTAGATCTCTCTCAAAGTCTCACTCATTTCAGGAGTCTGTCAATTCCTTCAAACTGCCTTGTTTCTTCTTGTGTTTCTGAATCCTCCCCACTCCCCCCCAAACCAGAAAGCCCAGGAGAGGGAAAGACCCTGGCTGATCTTCTGCTGGATTGCAGGGGAGAGCTGATCGAGAGCATAACACGGTTGAGCCCCATCACAGAGTTCCTGGCAACGGCAGAGGAGGGATTCCTGACCGCGCTGGAGAAGCGGGTAATGATTGCGGAATAAGGAAAGCTTTGTGTGTGTGAGGGGTGTCTGTGTCTGCAAGGCACCTTCTCACCGCTTGGCCCTGCCCAGGCTGCCCGTGTTCCTTGTCTCACGTCCTTCTCTGCTGGGAACACCGAAAGCTGAGGTGCAAAGGCAGCCTCGAGTTCAGGGTGAGCACTGACGCACGTGTGCCAGATGCTCCTGTTAGCTGAGCCTGGGGCACAGCGGGCACCTAGCACTCCTTCTAGGATCTAAAAATCCTATTTTTGTCAGTGTAGAGAAGGCATGGAGCCCTATAGGAGAGCTCAGCTTCCACAGAACCATTAAACCCCCTGTGCTGCCTGCCAGTTAGATCGTAGGCGCTCACATGTTGTCTTACCTTCCAGCTAACTCTCCCAGGAGTTCTTTTTCTTGGCACACGGTTGCCTGTAAACGCACCATGTCCACAGGCTGATTTCTTTTTTGATGTGTCGAATGCAGCACTTAATGGCGGGAACTAATGCTTTTCTGTAAGCACTTGTTATGTACGCTGGTTTTTGGGTTTTTCTTGGTTTTGTTTTTTTCCAGAAGTCATAGAGGACAAAATGCTGTGTATCAACTGCTTGCTTTTGTGTTCTGGGGGCTGCCTGTGCTGCTGATCCTTGCAAGGTGCCCCAACATGCTGCTTTCAGGGCACAGCTTGCAGACCTTCTGTCCTAGTTTGTCACGTCACTTGTTTTTTTTCCCCTTTTTCCCCCTTCTGGCACAAGATTATAGCGAGTGGAAAGCACTGTTGTGCTCAGGGGCATGAATGCTGTCTGCTTTCTGTCTGAGTGAGGCTGGCTGGAGGCCACGATAGGAGGGCTGAAAACTTCTGCCTTTCTTGGCCCTCCTGCAACGACAAAGCTTCCAGTGTGGAGCAGCTCCGAGCCTGAGTGCAGCTCGCTGTAGAACCAGAGAAGGTGCCACCAGCAGAATTATCCACCTAGTCTTTATGGGCTGAAGGTGTGACTAGTGTCTGATATTATTATTTTTTTTCCTCCCCGTGCAAGAAGAATGACGAGCCTGGAGTGGGAATGTAAGAGGAGAGAAAGTGTGAATGCAGCAAAGGATTCGGCATCTGCTGGGGATATTGCGGCTGTCAGCAGAGATCCATTAGGGGGGTGCTTGGAGCCGACTTCTTAGCCATGAAAATTGCATCAGCAGTGGAAAGATTAAAATTTTTCCTGTATGCCTGTTCATGTCACCACGTGGCCTTTGCTTTTAAAAGCTGAACACTTTCCATGAACTGTCTTTTTTTTTTATCTTTGGGAAATTGGATATTTAAAATACAGGCTTTTTCTGTCTCCCTATCTTTTTGAAGAAAAAAAAAAAAGAAAACAAAATAAACAAAACCCTTCTGCCATCATAATTCTGCCTCTTGGGCATAGGATCCAGCCTTTAATTACATGATCAGACACTGCTGTGTTCCTGGGACTCCTGCCTTGTTTGGTAAAGGGGTAGTTATTCAGTATTTCTTTTTATCCTCGTCAGTGAGCGTACGCCGCTGAGCCGTGGTTGCTGCAGAGCCTCCAAACCCTGCTCGGAATACAAAATCCTGCTGCTCTCTGTAGATTCCCTTCATGCACTTTTTTTAGCACACAGGCACCGGACAAACCCACGGGTGTATCTTGGGAGCGCTCGGATGAGGCTGGGTGCAAAGCTGGGCACGAGGAGGTGAGGCATGGGAAATTAAGGCTAAAATTGCCAAAGTTAGACTGACCTTGAGGTGTCTTTTTTAAAAGATTTGGCTTATTTTCCCCCCTGGTAAGTGGGAAAGTACTTAATTATTTCAAAGGAGCAGAGTTGTTTGAAACGTTGGGCTTGTGGCATACGTGCACTTGAGATCTTGTGGTCTCAGGTGGAGGGCCGGGAAAACTGTACGTGGAATTAGCAGTCACCTCTGAAGGTTTCATCTTACCTCCTTCATCCAGCATAGCACGAGAATGCAGGGCCAGCAAAGATAGCATCTAGTTCTCCAAGGCTTCACAAGTGGGAGACTTTCCTTTTTCTTCTTGTGTTCACAGCCTCATTAGCTACATATTTATTCAGCCAGAGAAGCGTGAGTCTTGCATGGAACAGCATTTTTTCTAGGCAAGTAGGATCTTTCCTCTGCCTGGTCCAAGAGTCCTGTGCACAGAGTCAATCTCTCTTTGTGTGGATGAAAATCAGTATGTGGTGTGTTGTGAAGCCCCTTTGTAAATCTGTGGCTTTGGGGAGCACTCTATTGCCTGGAATTCTTATATTCTGAGTGCTTAACCATGAGGCTTTACTAGTGTTTTTTAATAAATGGAGATAGTGAGAGAATTTGGGGAATGGCTCAAGGCAAGTTCATGCTTAAGGGGACAAAACCCAGTGATTTTGCATAAAGTAGGAGAGCTGTTTCACCATCGTGACCCGTGGCTTAGGTCTTGGGCAGAGTTTGGAGTTACCAGTCCACAGCCTGTCCACAGCTCCGGAGCTGACAGAGTAGCCGATAGCAACTGCTGACCTTGTCTTCTGTTCAGACCCTCTTCCCGAGGGGGCTTTTTGGATGACCACAGGCCGAGCTACACGCTGCCATCTCAGGGCATTGGGACTCAGCAATGAGGCTGGATTCAAGTAAGGCAGTGCTCCTATGTGACCACAGCCCTCTCCGCTCTGCTTTCCCAGCCTGTCTCACCTCATCTTTCCATTCCTGCTTTTGCGAGGGTGGATTCTACCTCCCTCTTCCTGTCCCAGTATCTCAGTGCTTCTGTTCAACATGTGTGCCTGAACTCCTGTTATCTTCTCCTCTTTGCTTTCATGCTGTGTCTCCTTCCCTGTTTGGCTCCAGCACCTTGATGGTTCATTGCTCACATTAAACTGCCTCTAAGGTAGGAAACGGGCTAACGCCAGCTCAAGCAGCCCTCTCTGCCATCGCCCGAGGAGCCTGAATGTGCCAAGGGGATGGAGAAGTCCTGCATGCAGAACGGGAGGTTTTAAACCTGACCGTCTCTCCTGGGTGTTGTCAGAAATGGCAGGGCTGTATTCCCCCCGTGCCGTGCTGCCAGAGCTCTCATATCCGTGCACGTCAAAGTGGAGCGTGGAAACTTGCCTGGGAACATTAATAGGTTATATATTTTAAATTCTCCAAGAGGATGCGGTTCTTGTTGCCCTTTTGTGTTATCTTGAAAGGTGACTTCAGATGGAGCGATCAAGAGTCAGTTCAGTGTGAATTAAATGGAGGGATATGCAAACAAGTTCCCTAACACAGTTTTACCTATAAAAGGGCAGAGTTTTAGAAATGAGAGGAAACTAATTAATGAGATCAGCTGCTCTGAAGAGCTCAGGAGGAGCTGTTGGATTTTTTCTTTTATGTTAAATGTATGAGAGCTATCTGAAGCTTGCATCCTCAACAGGAGGGGAGAATTTGTAAGAAAGGGTTGCCAACTGCAGTGAATGAATAGCTCAAGGAAGAGCATTAGGAGCCTATTGGAACCTGTGAGCCAAGGATGAAGCAGCTGACGGACAAAGAAACGTTTCAGAGCTTGTAGGGATGAGGTGAGACTTGCTGCAGGTCAAATTACTGGGCACCACAAAATGGATTAAGATACATAACAAACACTTGTTTGAGCAGGTAAAGAAAATGGATAGTGAGAGAAGAGGACCTACAAACCCAACCAGGACCTTCTGAGAAGGACTGTTGTACCGAGCCCAGAGGCAAATCCTGCAGCTGAAGTGAAACCACAGCCCAAAGGTGCCAAGAGGGCAGTGGCCAAATCTCCACCCAGCAAGCTGCCGGAGCCAGTGTGTATTTAGGAGACCAGCACTGAGGTTTATTACTGTATTTCTTCAAACTGGGGATGACTCCTGTGGTTGGGGAGCAGTGAGCTTGCAGAAGAGGGAAGCAGTGGTCCGGGCAACCAGGGCCATGGATGCACCAGCCTGTGCACTGGGTCAAGCAGGAAGCTGCATATATTTGAAGCACTGCATGTGAACAAGAAACGGGATAAAATGTAGCAAGGGTGCTCAAGTACATTGTTTCTGCCTGACCTGGTTATCTCTATTTGATGAGATAAAAATGGGATTTACTGCCTCAATCTGGACTTGAGCGAAGCATTTGAATTTCATATGGGGGAAATTGTTAAACTAGAGGAAATGGTGGCATTAAAAAAAGTGTGTAGCTAATGGGGAGGTAACGACAGGTTGTGTTGAAGGCAGGGCTGTCAAGTTAGAGCGAGGTCGGTGGAGGAATTTGTGGTTCTTCGTACTTGGATGACATTATCATTAATGTTATTGCCATGGAGATATCAAAACACGCTGGAAAAATTTGCTGAGGAGCAAAATTGGGAGCTATTGTCCACACAGGGGAAGATCCGCTAATGGGAGAAGAATTATATAACTGGACAGCTGAAATAGCGAGGGCTGAATGATATGATAGTATAAAACGAAGGGCAGACATTTAGATCCAGTGACGGGAACGAAGAATAAGACTTCATCTGAAATACTATGTGCAGTCTAGCCTTGTTCCAAAAAGATGAATTCATGCTGAAGTAGAGACAGATTTGCAATAGTAAGATCAGGGAATGGAGAAGCTGTTCTACAAGAGAAGCTGTCTTATTTAGACAAGTAAAATGAAGACTGGGGGAAAATGATCACTCTTTTATAAAAGAAATTGGAGAGAAGGCGTGGGATAAACACCTCAGAGGACTGAGAAGAGCTTTTTAAGCTGAAAGGTAGTGTTGGCATGTGAACAAATGGGTATATGCTGGCCATGAATAAATTTAAGCTGGAAATTAGAAGAATCAACAGGGGAATGAGACTGGGAAGGCCTTGCCAATCAGAGGAGAGGGAGCAAAAATGGAACTAGTTTTAGGACAGATCTTAATAATTTTATTAATGGGATTGTATAGTGTCATGTTTGTGGCGGCAGGGAACTTCACTGGTGGCCTTACAGGGTTTCTGCAGCCCTACATTTTGAATGCTTGGAAATGCAGTTTTTGCATCGAGCAGGTCAACCTGCACTTTTGAACTCCTTTTCCTTGTGAAGCCTCCTATTATTTATTTATTTTTAAACACATTTCAATGTCAACCTCAGTCCCTATCAAGGCTGGATCTCTTTGCTGACTGTGCTGGGGCATACTGGCATACTAAAGCATAAACTGGCATACTAAAGCTTTTCCAACCTGCAGTGATTGCATCTCACTTAAGAAATGTCTTTTATGGCCAAGTCATAGATGCGTTCATTCAGTAGGGTGCTCATCTAAATAACAAGATACTTGTTTTTCTTTCCGTTCTTTCAATGATAAGCGGAATAATCGGGAAGAGGAAAGCAGGTCTGAGAGTTCGTAGGAACCTCTCACAATTTCTTTGCTGTTTTTCTGCGTTGCAGATAGTTCTGGATTGCTGTGAAGGCAGCTCTCACAGGGAGGCCATGGAGAAGCTCCTTAAAAAGGTGGATGAAGAGAAAACCCTGAAAGCTGAAAGCTTGATCAAACTCCTTGCGGCTGTGAAAGGATCATTTCCTGGTCTCCACCTTCTGCTAGACAACTTGGTGGCAACAGCAGCTGCTTCTGATGCCAAAGGTACCTATATGCTAAACACTGGAGACTTGGGAGGCTCAGCTCAGAATTGGCAGGAGGTTTGGATGCTTGTCCAGACCTTTCGGAGATGATTTCTGATTTTCACTTCATCAATACTTTGGCCTCCTTAGGGAATTACTAGTAAGATGAGGAACTCCTTTTTATTCCTCTAGCCCCTTGTCTTGGAGTTGCCATTGATGTTGAGTGCTGGGAGGTTACAGAGGTGGCTCGGTGACTTTCATCTGCACTATTGCAAGTTTGGGTGGGCTTAAGCACACCTCTGAGCAACGTGGGTAGTGGCAGCTCTCACTGGCTCTGAAGTTGCTTAAAAAGTAAAATCTGGATTAACATACAGTGAAATGTAAATGAGCGTTTAATAGAAAGCAAAACTGTGCTCACGATGCTGATAATTTCCTCTGTAGCAAACATTCCCGACAGGCAGTTTGCTTTGTCATTCGTTAAGCACGACTGCTTTCTTGAAACATCAGGCTCCCAACATGCTTAATTATCTGGTGGTAATACCCATTCCAAGGAGGGGAGCGTTCCTTAATTACCCAGAATTGAATCTCCTTCAACTGAAGCCTGAGCAAACAGAAGCACAAATATTTCTTATTGTGGAAATGAAGAGGGTGGGATTGGAGCCCTGGGCCGTAGCGTGAGCAGAGAGGAGCGCATCTTGTGCTGCGGTGGAGGCTCTGCTGGGGTTGTGGGTGATGACCGAGAAGAGGACATTCATAACAACTGAAATGTGGGCAGGGAAATCGGAAACGTTCAAAGGGAGAGCTATATCCGCTTGTAAACTGTGCCCCTGCTTTGTGTGGGGCTCCTCCCAAGTTGTAGGCAAAGCCCTGCAGAGCTCAACTGCTTCATGGGGTCCCTTGGTTTCTCCTGGTGACTTGACCCGTGTGTCCCCACAAAGTGTTTGTCCAGGGAGTTTTCAGCATTTGCTCAATCTCCCTCTGATGAGTTCACTGCCTGCCGCTTACCTCCTTCACCAGGGACTTGATTTTCCTTGAACCAAGCTGAGTATTTAGCTGCTTTCTTCCTAAGCAGTGCTGTGCGAATAATTGATCTTTCTGTTTAGTGCTAAACTAAAACGATTCAAAGACCTAAGCACACAAAAACACACAGAGATGTCTTGGATGAACAAGAGTTTGGTATTTTGATTTCTTCTACAAAAGCAAAAAAAAATATAACCTCCCATCTTGTCCTCCAATTTTGTAACTCCAACCCTGGAAAAAAAGATATTTTGAGATGTATCTTTTTGGCAATCTGTAGATTTTCTTGTCAGCTAATTTGGATATAGCTGAAATCAAATATTTTTCTCGAGTGTATTTTCCCAGGTCTTTTCAACACTCCGAATAACATTTTGCTCCTGCTTAAATTAGTCACATTTCTCCTCGTCTTCTGATACTGTGGCTTCTAAAAAGGATTGTGATGTGGCTTTGGATTCATTCTTTCTCAGCTCCATGAGGGCGGACCCACCTTAGAATTAAATTCACGAGGAAGGAATGAGGTTCAAGTTGCATTTTTGTGTTTGTGTGAGGGGAAGAAGAAGGCGCAAGTGCCACCTTGTAATCAGAAGTCTGGTTTGTGTTCCCTTAAGGTTGTCACCAAAGACAGCTCGCCCCTCTACGTTCTTGATCATCTTGGACCATCTGGGTGTGTGTCGCATGTTAGTGCATTTGATAATTATACACTTCTGAGGCAGAGCATGTTGCAGAGCTCCTTTGTAGCAGAGCCTGTCCAAGACTACCATTTTGACCACTGTCTCCTCATGAAGCTACAATTCATAGTCAATAACAGGATTTCTTTGCTCCCAGGACATAAAAGAACCCGAAGAACATCTCAAGGTGCTATCTTCACAGATGAGACTTGCTGTCCTCGGCTAAGATGCTCTCTTTTTGGGCTTACACTAAGATTTCTGCAAATACTTTGTTTCAATGAAATGGGGTATTTTCTGTTGTCTTTACTTGGTTAGAATAAGTTTTGAGTAAGTGACAGCCCTTGGCTTAAGGAGTCTCAACTGCCCGTGGCACCGTTCGGACTCTGTCACGGAGCCGACCTAGGGCAATCCCCACTGCTTCCTTCTCCAGGCCCTGCCAGCAAAGTGTCTTGCCCGATTGCCTGTTCCCAGCACGACGTTAGTGGGACCTCCCAGCCTTGGCCAGCAGCCTCTTTGCAGTCCCTTCCTCTGAGGAGACTCTTCACTCGCCTCCATCTGCCGTAGTTTAGTGATGCAGGCCAGTGCCGACAGGGACTGGAAAGAACTTGCAGTGCCCATCCTGGGCTTGGATGTGAAGCCAGGTGTCCTGAGGGCAAGGCCATTTGAGTGGCCACATGAGAAGTGGCTGTCACGGTGTTACCAGTTGTCCCTTGGCTCTGAGCAGCAGGAACCTTTGGGGAAGATAGCGCATGCTGAATTCTGACTTCCATTTGTTGACGTTAAGGCCAGTGGAACCCAGAGGATTATGGAGCCAAACTTTTGAGACGATATCAAGGAAACTTTGCGGAGCTTCTCACGGATACCCCGGTGCTGCTGCAAGGGATCTCTGCTGCACAGAACCTAGCTCCTGGTGAGAGAGAGGTAAGCAATTTTGTGTGTGTTTAAAATACTGAGCTTTTATCTCTGATCGGTGAGCACGATGTCCTAGGGACTTGATTTACTAGCTATTGTGGCAGTGTTTGGGGACTGTTCTCTCCTGCAGGACTTAGGTTAATGATTTTTTTAACATCTTGCAGCAGGAGGAAAGCAAAATAAAATAACATATGTGAAGCTGAAAATCAGCAAGTAATCCTGACTGATTTCAGGATGGCAAGAGAGGTTTTCACTTGCTGGAGTGAACCGAAGAGGTGGCCAATGTGTTTCTGTGAAGAGCTGGACCTTGACATTGTCATCCCTTAAATTGTCTTGAGGCAGGTCTTCAGTAGGGCCAGGATCTAGGAGAGGTTGGATGTGGGGTGAGCCTTGGCTGGTGTGCGCCTGTACATATGGACAGAGATCCCTCATTAGTGCCTTGCTGCTGGTCTTTTGAAGGTAATGGAACAGATCGTGAAGCGCGAGACTGGCTCAGGTGGCTTCGTCTCGCTGGTGTCCGCGGCGCTTGATGAACAGTCTCTGTCAGCGTCTGCTGTTTGGCAGCTCCTCCTGGCTATGCGAGAGGCCGAATTTCCCCTGAACGTGCTCATGCAGGAGATCCAGAAGGAACCGGGCGCAGATTTCTTCTTCCAAGCAGGTACCAATCTCTGTCTCTAGGCCAGACTATGTTTATCCTTGCGGATCCCCCTTTCTGAGCCCTCTCCTGTCTGCCGGTGCCATCAAAAGGGGGGTTGCTCACATTCCTGCCTCTCTTGAGCTGAAGATCTCTTAGATCTTTTCTCGTTCCCTTCTTTGGCTGCTGGAAATACTTTCCCCACAGGCTCTACCTGGCACTCTCTTTCATGCCTCTTTTTAATTTGTTTTTATTTTTATTTTTTTTTCCTTCTCTGCAGCTTATATCAAAACCTGCATCCCCTGTGAGATGAGCAGTTGATCAGGCACCTTCATCCACAAACGTGGCTGCTTTTCTTAAGAGCTCTTCTTGCAACCCTGTATTTTACAGAGGTGCCTAGGGTTTTACAATGAGCAAATCTTCTGAGAGGTGGGAGGACACCTGGCTGCTCCTTAACTTTTTTTTTCTCTATAGCTGCCATCCTGTTTTTTTCTGTGCTAAATTCCAGCTCGACCCAAGACCCATCAGACTAAAAATGTGGCTTAAATGAGAGGTCTATTTGCACAGCTTTTATCCTGCCCTCTTCAGAGCCTTGATGTGTGACTGTGGGTTTCCCTGCCAGCTTTGAATGTCCTGTAATCCACGTCTTCCTGTTTTGAAACCCAAACCATCCTTTTCCATCCCCTAATTGTAGAAATTGCAACACAGCAAGAGGGACACTTGCATTAATTGACACTAGAGTAAAAGGGATGGAGACTGCAGCATCCTGTTATATACACGTGCTAACCCTGTTGGGTCTACCACGTGCTGGGATGCAAGGCTGTGTTTTTAAAACCCTTTTGTTCTTTTCCTTTGTTAGTGGCCAGCAGTGAAAGCACAGCCATCGAGATCATCCTGCGGCACAGCAAGCTGATCTCAGAAGCCATCAAGCAGCGTGCAGACCTGGAAGATTTGGCTCCAGGGGAAGCAGGACTTGCAGAGGCAGTGAAAGAGGTAGGAGGGGATGATGCAGCTGCGCTTGGGTCTGGTGTGGCTCAGGGTGGACAAACCAGCATATTCCAGGGCTCTGGAGTCTTGACAGGGAGTCCTTTTTTACCTTAGAGTCAATTGCCTGAAGACTTTATCCAACACAAGAAGGAGGTATTCCTAGAAAACGCAGTGAGCGTGTCACTGCTGTAGGAGCCTGTGCTGTGACGTTGCAGTCTGCAGTAGCATTTGCTCTTTGACATTGGGACATATTGGCTACTAATTGTCTTCCACCAAACAGTTGCTCGTTCCTACTGTGGTCAGCTGCTCTTGCAAATGAGTGTACGCAGAGTTTTCACCCTGGATTTCTTTGCAGTGACTGGAGGATTGGATTTGGAGGGGAGAGAAGAGCCTGAAGGGAGTTGTGCATGAAGGACAGGTTTACAAGTTAGCTAGATGATGTTTGCTGCAGGGTGTTGAGAAAACTCTCTTTCCATGGAGAGTTGGTTGTAGGTGAGTCAAAACCGATACAGAAATTTCAAGAGGTTCATTTATTGCGACTTTTAAAGTCCTGAAATACTCTCAGTTCATGCAGTTATAAACTACCACATATATGAATAGAAGGGCATGCATGTATGTAGAATGTAGGTTCTTTTCTGGTTTCTCGAAGCAAGTTGCCAGCAGTAGAGGAAGCACCATCACCCCCAAACCTTCCTTACCCTTCAGAGCACAAGTTCTCCATCATGTGGCCCTTCCTTCTTTTTACTTTTCTAGCTGCTGAGTATTTCTGCTCAAAAAGAGAACTCGGAGGCCTCCTTGAGAGCGGCTCTGAGCACAGTGCAAGAGAAGTCTGTCCCAGCCATCAAGATCTGTCAGCTGCTATGCAGTGTTCACGAGTCCTTCCCGGAGCTACAGCCAGTGATGCAGGAGCTGGGACATGTGGGTAAGAAATGCACAGGTTTTGAGTCTTGCATAAGCTTTTAAATTTATTTATGGGCAATTTGAGCTGCAGAGGGTCTTGGTGTCCTGGATGTCTGTGATAATATCAAAGAATTGCTTCACTGTTTCTGGATGTCTGGTGTGTGGCTTGTACTTATTACAGGATTCACAAGGGTGGTCTCTGGGTCCCAGCGTCGGATGCTTTCTCCTCCTGCTGTAATGCACCAGTTAAAAGGGTTTTTTTGTGTGTGTTTTTTCTATGTTACAAAGGTCATGGAGACCAAGAATGGCCACATTCTGGTATTCTTTAACTATTTTCCTAATTCTCCAGCCCAGGTTTTACTCTGGAGATATTTTAACAGCTTAGTCGCATAATTTGCATGCATGTTGGCTTATTTTTTTCAGCTTAGTCACATAATTTGTATGCCTTTTGGCTTACTTATTTCAGAATTTAGATACTTATCATGTAGGATTTCTTCATCTCCTCCTGTTTATGTACTTTGGGATCTGCATCAATTTATACTTGTATATCGTAATTTGTTGGCCATGTGGAAGTGCATGGGGATCCATCACAGGCTGAGCACACTTCTTGTGGGGAAAGGTGACCATCCTGTAAAGCAGTGACGATGCTGCTTGAAGTCCCAGGCTGTCTTTGAGTTAATTTTCTCACTGTGCCTTAATTTGGCCCTGCTATATCTATACTTTGCAGGGCAAATGGTGCCCAGGGAGGGTCCCACAGCGGTGGGGGAACGTTACATATGATACCTGTTTGGCAAAGGTTTGAGTGAGATGAATGCAGGTAGCAATTTGGTGAATCCTGGAAACAAATGCAGCGCGAGATGTATCACCATGGGCAAGACGCCGCCCTGAGCGGTGGGATGCTTTCCAGCTGAGCTAAATTGAAGCTCTGCATTTGTCATTCGGAGGAAGGATGCTTAGCAGAATCAGGTACTTTAATGAAAAAGATAAGAGAGCCAGGAAACTAATGGAGGGTGTTAAAATTTTTAAATCATTTCTTAAAAGGATATCTGCATACATTTGCCCATATACATTCTCATCCGGTTTCCCATTGCGTCCAGTTACAGGTTCTTCTGATTCCACTGGTGTGGTTGTGGTCTTGTTTTTTTCAGCCAAGAACACGTTCTTGTTCAGCTCAGTCTCTCCCTACTTGCTGATGGTGCCAGAGCTGCTTATCTTGTATGAGGAAAGACTGAGCGAGCTGGGCCCGTTTGGCCTGGGGAAGAGAAGGCTGAGGGTGGATCTCAACATGCATAAATGCCTGAGGGGAGAATGTAAAGAGAATGGGGCCAAACACTTCTTGGTGGTGGCCGGTGACAGGACAAGGGGTAATGGGTATAAATTAAAACCCAGGCAGCTCCATCTCCATGTGAGGAGGAACTTCTTCACTGTGAGGGAGACAGAGCCCTGGCACAGGCTGCCCAGGGAGGCTGGGGAGTCTCCTTCTCTGGAGGTCTTCAAAACCTGCCTGGATGCCACCCTATGCCCTGTGCTCTAGATGTCCCTGCTGGAACAGGGGGTTGGACTAGATGATCTCTAGAGGTCCCTGCCAACCATTCTGTGTGTTTTGTTCAAAAAATCTGGGCCTGGACCACAATCAGGTTTTATGAACAAACATGAGCCCTCTGGTTTTGCTGCTTACTGTCATTTCATGTCATTCAGTTGACAAGCTAAGGAAATATTCCCTGTGTCCTTAGAAGGTGGCAGGGAGAGAAGAAGGGATCAGTTATCCAGAACACTGCATGTGCAGAAGAAACTAAGGATTGGGCTTGTTATTCTATCCTGTAGAGCTCTGAGGGAAGCACATGCTCTGCTCATCTTCCTTTAACTTCTCTGTATTTTATATGACCTTAATAATCTCCCTGAGAGATGTGCTTATTCTCTAGAGCCCATATTCACACCCAATTTGGATCCAGATCCCTGCTTCTAACTGGAGAAGAGGTACCAAGCATCCAAATGTCTCCTTTGGCTGGATTTGACCCTATAGAGGATATTTGGACAGGTGATTTCTTGCTTTCCATCATTCCTTTCCTGTCCCTCGATGAACCTGCAGCTACCTGCAATTCTTCCCTTGACCCTGTCTGAGCATGAGATGTGCCAGGGCTCCTAACGCAGGACGGCTGGTGCCACGGGGACCCTGGGGCAAGTAGGGCAGCAGAAATTCTATGTGCTCATGAATGTGTTGCACACCTTAATTCTTGGACACCTTGCAAGGCTTCCCAGCGAGGGACCCGGGGAGCTGGCTAAATTGCTCTGGCAGATGCCTGCTTGTCTGGCACCAGTATCAAAGAGAGGCTGCTCTTACTAAGCCTCTTTGCAGGGTTTCCAGCCAAAAAGGTGTTGAGACAAAATCAGGGAGAAAAACATCAAAACCACAAGTGCTGGAAAAACTGTATTTTACCTGGCCAAAGCATATATTTTGTATGAAGTGCCCAGAGGAGGGTTGCCAGGGATCAACCATTTTTGGTATCCTACAGATCTTTAAACTGAGCTTCTGTGTCTTGATTTCCAGGTGAGCGTCAGCTCTGAAATCACTGCTTACCAGCCCTGAGTGTTGCAGGGTTACTGCCTGGATCAGCAGTTGTGCGGCTCTTGCTGTGAAATACCAATGATAACTGCAGGCCTCTAATTTAAGGAATGTGAGGTTCCCATTTAAACAGATGAGCCTTGTGTTTCTGAAGGATATATGTGCAACGTGGAGGGTTACAGTATTTGTGTTTCCAGTGCTTCACATCTCTGCAACAGCTAAAATAAATAAAATTATCCAACACCTGATGTAGGTGACCTGAATCACCTGAGCACCAGAGCCCTTCATTTAGGAAGTTCTCTGCATCTCCCCCATCCATGGCCAGCATCATTGAAGTGGCGTTTTTGTTTCTTTGGTGGGCAATACAAAATCAAGTTGATTGGCTCTCCCTCGTGTCACTTCTGCAGTTGGAGCACTTTGATTTTGCCAGCAAACAATGTGTGTGATGCTGAGGTTTGGCAATTTCCACCATTTCCACAGTCTCCTCACTACCCAGGTGCTTTCAAATTCTCTGTGAGGTCCGAGCACATGCATCATATCTAGTTAGCTTTGTGAGTCCCTGAAGTCATTAAATTGAAGAACCTGCAAGCAAAACACCATCCTCCCTGTGAAGGTGTTCCGTAAAAGTTGCCACACAGGTCAGCAACCATTTGACCTTCAACCCAAGGTAGACACAAGGGGATAGCTGGAATTTTCTTCCAGCTTGGAAGCTAAAAACAGTGCAAGACAAGATGGGCATTCAGTTTTTCATGATGGAGCCATAAAAATGGAGTAGACTGGTGGAGTTCTGGTGTCTACCCTATTTTGAAGTTGAGAATAGGGCAGTCACCAGGATTATGGACTTGGCTGACAGAGGAGAAAAAGCTTGGTAATATGCCCCATAATTAACAGCAATTTTTTTCCAGCACCAGATATCTTTGCTGCTAGAGACCACAGAAAGTGAAGCAGCGCCAGAGTCTCAGGATGCTCCTGTTTATGGGGTCCTCTATCTGATGCATTTCTGGTGCATTCTCGCCCTTGGGCTCCACGTGTGCTCAGTTAGGCTCAGCCAGGGGCACAACCAAGGCAGTTCTGCTTCTGCCAGACTACGTTCTTGTCTCAAACTTCATGTGCCCTGTCCTAGGGGTAAGAGCACGAGGGCTCTCCTTTCCACTTCAATGTCACTTAGATTCCACCCGTGTGAGGTCTTCTGGGCATTTCCTTTTCCGGTTTCCTCTGTGTTCCTTTCTTCATCCACACTCATCCTGCTGAGCAAGATGAGTCTCTTTTGAAGTTCAGCATTTCTAGGAGATGCTTCTTCTCTAGATCAGAAGGACTTGCCCTGTTGCTTTTTGGATGCAGAGGTGAAAGATGTGAACTGCCTTCTTGACAGATGGTAAATGGGGAAAGTAGTTTTCATTAGTTTATTTTGTCTCTCTTGACATATTTTGCAGCCACCGCTGGATATCATAATGCTTCAGAGTCAGCAGTCTGTTAAAAACACATCAACTGATTTCTAGTTGTTTGGAAATTCAGGGCAATATCCCTCGGCAGGAGGGAGAGCGCTTTACTGAGCCCTTCCCAGAGCCAAGAAGGGAGAAATGAAGTTTTGCAGGCGCAGGCTGAATTTTCCTGGGCCTTGGCAAAATGAGAAGTCTGCACCGATTTCCATGGCCACACAATCGCGTGGTTTTCATTAGAGCAAAGAAGCTGAATATGTCTGCTTGTATTTGGATTTTATCTATACGTGCATTCCCAGCGGGTCTCTTCTGTAGACCGAGCTCTTAGGTGAATTTCCCAACTTGTGGGTTTTGAGACAACTGCGTTACGGGGCCACAGCAAAGCATTAGACTTTGTAGGAAGGGAATGTAATGAGCAACTTAAAATACCTCGGGGCCCTACACAGAAGACGAGGAGTAGCAAGATTATGTGTTCTCTTTGAAAGAGTTTGCGTTTGAAAAGAGATTTCTTGTAATTAATGGATGGATATCCACGCTCAATGGCAGACTTAGTGAGACTGTCATAGCTGGGGCCCAGATCTTCAAACATTTTAAGTGTGGTCGTAGGCTCGTGTGTGTGAGCAGGAGGCAGACACTTGAAAGGGTCAGTTGTTCCCTTCATTGCTTAGGTGAGGAACAAGTTCTCGTTGCCTACGTGAGTTCTTTGTAAAATCAGGCCCTGGCTCCGGCCGTATAATCCATCCCTCGATGCGTGTGAGCGCTTGTGATTGGGAAAAATCAAGGCTTACTTTTTCCAGTGCCCTGTCCCAGGTGTTGCTGTGGCCATTTCTGCACGGTGAGAGCAACGTGCCACCATCCTGATGGGACTGCGTGCCCAGTGTGTGTCCGTCCTCACGATGCCGGTAGTGCAGGGGAAGGCTCCCTGTCGGAGCACTCGGGAGACAGGAGACCGGAGGTGCTGGTGACCACCATTCTTGATGGGCACTGAAAAAGGAGGTTCTTTCTATGCAGGACTCCTGACTGAGGGAAGCGGGGAGAAACCTGGGATCAGGAAGTGGAAGGTGAACAGTGAATCCCAGGTGGAAGCTCTGGACAAAGAGGAGGACAAGGTGGGAGGTGCCGTGGCCAAGGAAGCAAAGCAACCTCAGGAGAAAGCTTCTTCCAAGAAGAGTTTTGTCTGCAAAGCCTGTGACAAGAGCTTCCACTTCTACTGCCGCCTAAAGGTGCACATGAAGCGTTGTCGGGTGGCCAGAGGAAAGCAAATCCAGTGTAAGGAGTGCAGCGAGGTCAAAACAACAAAGAAGGAGCTCGAGAAGCATCAGCTGGAGGTCCACGGGGCTGTGGTGCCAGCCAAGAAGAAGAAGCGGCTCCCGGTGACGTGTGACATCTGTGGCCGGGAGTTTGCTCATGCCTCAGGTAGGGTCGGTGACGGGGTGGCAGTGGGGATTGTTTGCACTAGGGCACGAGGTGGGGACAGCCAGGACGGGATGGCAGCGTGGCAGTCTGAAATCCTGCCCTTCTCCCCACTGCTCTCAGTGCTGTGTGTGGGAGAAGCTCATCTCATTTCTCCTGCCCCACTGCATGCAACTGCTTCCTGATTAGTTCTTCCTTAATTGGTTTTCCACATGGTTCATCAAGGAAAAGTGGGGCTACTGGCAAATGTAAAAGGCTCCAAAAATAATCATGCTGTTCAGCTCTTCGGCTGATTTAGCAGTACCAGTGATGGGAGTCTGGAACTGCTGTCCCTTCTCTGCCTGGCACACACTGTCCTAGTGCAGCGCTGCCCAAGGGGGCCTTCCCTGCAGGGCCAAATCTGTCCCCTCTCAACAGGGGTCCAGGACCGAGTCCCTGTGCAGGGCACTAATGTCACATGCGTGTCCTGCCTCCTCCAGGAATGCAGTACCACAAGCTGACGGAGCACTTCGATGAGAAGCCGTTCTCCTGCGACGAGTGCGGGGCCAAGTTTGCAGCCAACTCCACGCTGAAGAACCACCTGCGGCTCCACACCGGGGACCGTCCCTTCATGTGCAAGCACTGCCTCATGACCTTCATGCAAGCCTCGGCCCTTGCCTACCACACCAAGAAGAAGCACTCGGAGGGTGAGCCTGTCCCTGGGGGCAGTGGAGCCTGCTACAGGGCAGGGCTTGCTCCATCCTTCCCTTCCTACCCTGCTTTTTCACCTCTCTCTGACAGCTGATTGTTTTGTCAGCCTCTGTCCTTTGTGGGAGCCCTTGGCAGCAGTCTGCTCACGGATCCTCTTCACCTGTGTGTGTTTTGGCTGCTGTCCCAGCCCGTTCCCTGCTCTGCTGCTTCCCTGTCTCACCTTTCCAGGTTCTCCTGTTAGCTACTCTGCAAGCATTTTGCTCCGAGTAGACCTGCCCTTTTCTGCCTCTTGCCTAGCTCCACTGTCCCCTCACCTATGAACCCTGCTCTGCCAACCAAGTGCTGCTCCATGCTTGTCAACCTGCCTCCTCCTCTCCTTTCCTTGGGGCAACTCTTCTCCCTGCCTGGTCCTTTGCCTCCCTTGGGTCTACTAAGCAGTTTTCACACCAGCCAGCTCTTCTCCCTCCCAAGTGCACCAGCGAGTCTGCCTCCTGCTTCCTTAGGAGAAATGCCAAGTGCTTGTGCATGTGGCAGCGACCTGCAGCTTCTCCTGCATTGCCCTATTGCTCTCTGACCTTCTCCATCTCCATGTTGTGTCTTCACTGTCAGCCCTGTCCCATCCGAATGCCCCTTGCACACTTGATGCTTATTCTGCCCTAACCTGCCAAAATTAATCTTGATTTAAAGATTGGGAACAATTAAGGGTTTTTTTTTATGCCTTTTTTCTTGTGTTTTGAAACCAGTTGCCAGAAATTCAGGATATTTTGCAAAATATGAAATATATGATTGAATTACATGTAGCTTTCCTTGGCCATGCTTCTCATGGTGTCTCTGCCACCTGCTCTGTTTGCAGCCAAGGCTTAGGCTGGTTTCCTCTGGCTCCCAGGAACAGAGGATGCATTGCTATATTTGCCATAAATACAAGAAAGCATTAGGGCATTGCACAGGTGAGAAGGAAAGCTTGTTTTGTCCAGTATTACCTCTGTGTATTTGCTCTCTGTAGCACACTCTGTGCTAGCAAGGCGTTCTCCATCGCCTCTAGGTCCATGCCAACATACGATGTAGCTACCCCAGGAAAGCCTCTGCAGCTTGCACGCTCTGGCCCTTTTGTTTCTGTTTTTCTCCCACACGGTGGCCAGCGGTGGCTCTCACGTGGCTCTCGTGCAGGGAAGATGTACGCCTGCCAGTACTGCGACGCCGTCTTCGCCCAGTCCATCGAGCTGTCGCGCCACGTCCGCACGCACACGGGGGACAAGCCCTACGTCTGCAGGGAGTGCGGGAAGGGCTTTCGCCAGGCCAACGGGCTCTCCGTCCACCTCCGAACCTTCCACAGTGAGTGGGACCTGCTCTCTGCTAAGGTGTTGCGTGGTGGCATCTCTTCCTTTCCTCCCCCTGAAATGAGACCGCTTCGCAGGTTGATCCTGGGGGAGGGATTGTCCGTAAGATACAGAGATCCCAGGTGAAGTGTGGGAATCCCCCACTAAAAGCTGTAGGCAAGCAGGAATAGGAATAGCTCTATGCAAATGGAAACTTTAGCGCTGACTTCTGCTTGAAAAGTTGCTTCTGCTTGAAAAGCTCCCCTTTATTTCCTCCCACTGTGAAGTGACCTCTTAACTCTTTTTCCTTTTCCATTTCTTTATCCCCTGCTTTGATTGTGTCTCTCGGGGGCAGATATCGAAGATCCCTATGACTGCAAGAAGTGTCGGATGAGCTTTGGCACCCTGCAGGAGCACCGCAAGCACATCCTGGAGGCCCATTCCCGGGAGTACCACCCCTGCCCGAGCTGCGCGAAGGTCTTCAGCGCCCCGTCTCTCCTGGAGCGCCACATGGTGACCCACGTCGGAGGAAAGCCCTTCAGCTGTGACATCTGTGACAAAGCTTACCAGGTGAGCGTGGCAGCGTGGTCTTTTGTGTTCGACAGAGGGAAATTGTTCAGAGGAGGCCCCTGAGGTCTGGGGTCCGCAGGGAAAAGGCTCCTGTACTGGGAGAAATGGACCCTGATTGCCAAGGGTTATGTTACCTGCCCTTCAGGATCCACAGGGCTGTCTCATACAAGTTTCTAGCTGCCAAGATCTACGGAAATAAAAATGTTCGCGTTGCAAATGACACTCTTCAGCAGGAGGGCTTGGGAATAAATTCCCCATGGGAACAGAAATTAAGGCCGAAAGGGGACCAGCGGTGAGTGAGATAAGGATGAGGGACTTAGCAGTGCTGAACTCTTCAGGGATAATGGAATAAATTTCTTCTGCAGGCTGCATCTAAAGTGCTGGGTTTCTGATACAAATGAGTTTTATGTTTCTGTAAGTGAGGTGTTGGCTCTTGTCCTGTGGGAAGATGAGCTGGTCTGGCTGGAGTTGACTGGTGTCTCATATCTACTGAGCACAGCCCCACCATTCCCACTGCTTTCCATGCAGAGCTTCTTGCTGTCATAATGCCTCTGGAATAGCTTTGGATTCTAACCTTGCTTTGATCCTTATCATTACAGCAGCTGTCAGGGTTATGGTATCACAACCGGACCCACCATCCTGATGTCTTTGCAGCTCAGAATCACCGCTCCTCCAAGTTCTCCTCCCTGCAATGCAGCTCCTGTGACAAAACCTTTTCTAGCACTGCTGCGCACCGAAAGCATGTCAAGGAGGAGCATGCAGGTAACAGCATATTGATTAACAACGAAAACATGTGACAAGTACTGAAAGAGATGTAGTGATGCCTCTGACAGGACTCTGCTCTGTAACCTGTTATGAATACCTCGTGTCTTTGTCACACAGTCTCCTTTGGCTCATCTCTTTTCAGTGTCTTGTAGCTGATCCTTTGTGGCTTCTCTTTTTGCTCACCTCCAAAGGTGCTCTCAGTGTCTGAGCAGATGTAGTGGTGCTGCATTACTGACAGAGGTGATCCAGAAGTACTGTCCCTTGTCAAAGGCCTCGGGTGTTCACCTTTCTGTGGTCTTGTCCGCAGATGTGAAGTTCCACGAGTGTGAGACATGCAAGGAGGTCTTCCCCACACTGGCTCTCCTGCAGGTCCACATGAAGTGCAAGCACTCAGGTCCGTTCATTTACTGTTACTTGTTTTGTGTGATGGCCTAGGAGAATCCAGCTACTCAGTACAGAGCAATGTGACTGTTCCTATCACTGGGTGGACATCCAAGCTGAAAGCAGCGTAGCAAAGGTGGCTGCAGCAAGGAGGAGACATCAACCCAGAGGGACTAGGACCCTCTTGCTAGGAAGACAAGAGAAGGCAGCCAAGATGGAGAGTGAGGAGGGAGAAGACAGACCACTGTGTCCTAGACACCATGGGATGGGTCATGGGTAGGCAATGCCTCAAGTAGAAGCCAGGCTGGCAAGGAGTGATGATGGAGGGAGTGAGGGAACAGGGAAAAAGCGTCTGCAAGAAAGGTCAGCTTTAGCTCTGCTCAGATACACACACCTGGTTGCTGAACACCTGAGCTGGAAGGACCGAGAGCTCAAATGGGTCTGAACAGCCATGAACAGTCTAATGTGTTTGACAGAATGGCCTAGCAGGGAGATCATCACACGTCTGGCCTGAGCCTTTGTGTGCACGTTCTGGCCATTTTCAGTTTCTGCTTCTTTCTTACCTGCTCTCAGCCCTCCTGGGCTGCCACGGCTCTTTCCTAGCCCTGGCCATTTGTGCCCCATGCTCAGAACAGCGTTGTCTGCCCCAGACTCCCAGCCTTTTTGCTGCTTCTGCTGCTCAGCCTCCTTTCACTTCACAGGGGCCCTGCAACACCACGCCACCGCGGAGCACTCCGGGCAGATGGAGAGCACCCTCAGCTGCGGGATCTGCGGGGAGCTCTTCACCTCTCAGGGCGAGCTGGAGGGTCACTACAGCGCTGAGCATCCCAACGTTGTTTTCACAGAAGCCCAAGCCACCACAGCCCAGATTGTGCAGGTAAAGACTGCTCCAGCTGGCACTGCTCACACAGATGGGCTGCAGCCTCTGGGCTGCTCAGAGAGGGTCCTGGCACTTGAGTTTTCATCCATTCTCCCATGTCCAACCCTGCTGTTCTTCCCCAGGTGCACCCTGTAGCTCTTACTACTGCATTGTTTGCCTGACGTTTCCCCTTAGGGCCCCTTGAGCCTGGAATGCTGTGGGATGTGTGTGCTGTCTGTGCTAGGAAGATTGGCTTGCAGGAAGGGAAGCAGCTCCATGCAAATGCTGTAGCGCTCAGACCCCAGTGACATCTTTCATGAGATGATAACTGTTTTGTCAGAGGCCAAAAGCTAGGCCCGAAGCCCCAGAATTTCTCTTTAATTTCTCAGTCATCAGGGGAGAATAGCTTTTTGGATAAGCCAGGACTCCCTGGGTTGGCATTTCACCAGTGTGTAATCATAGAGTCTTTATTGCCTACGACTGCTTATGGAGCTAAATTATAGCAATTTTGTGGAGAGAAATATTTAAATTGCTCTCCTGTCTTCTCTTTTGCATCATCGAAGCGTGTGTGTGTGTGGCTTGGAGTTTCCCCTAGGTTCAGGCCTGTTGTAGTTGCCGGCCTCCAACGTGAAGCTGAATGTTAATACTGGGGCTTGGGCAAGGAAAGATGTGGAGAGCAAAGTGCTTGCAGGGAAAGCAATGCTGCAGACCTCTTCCTGATTCTTAGGTTGTCTTCCACGCAGGTGATTCAGACATCAGAGCAAGGCACAGCGGAGCACATCATCTCCTTCGACGAGACCCAGTTTGCCGGCTCCCAAGTCTTTGTGACGTTGCCCGATTCACAAATGAGCCAAGCTGGCTCGGAGTTGGTGGCGGTGACTATGGAAGATTTGTTTGATGACAAGGTTACTCTCATTTGTGAAGAAACCAAATGAGAGTGAAGAGCAAGTACTCACGCGTGGCCTCAGGAGTTCGCTGGGTTAGTACAAAATCCATACGTGGCTGTGCTGCTTCGGCAGTGAGACTCAGGGTTTCCTTGGAAAAGCAATCCCAAGATGTGCAACACTGACAAAAAGAAATGACATGCAGCAAACGTTATGGCCGAGGACAGGAGAGGTTTGCAGATGTTCACGTGGGCCTGGAAAACTCTTCCTTCCCCTGCAGTCAGCCGCTGCTGGCTCTGGTGAGCTAGACCACTCGGCCTTCCTAGCTCAGGAAAAATAAAAAACAGGAGGAAAAAACCCAGAAGATGGAGTGTGTGTAGTGTGCCTCAACGCTACCACGAGCAGAGTGGAAGGGGAGGAAACTAGTGCAACCTGGGACAAAGTTGGGGTGATATGGGACGGGCAGCTGAAATAGCCTTAGAAAGCAAATTAAAAAGTTGTCTCAAGGATTTGGGGGTGGCAGTGAAGACTGTTATGGCTGAATCGGCAGTGTTCTTGCAGATATCTGCTGCTCTGCAGCTTGTGCCAGGGTTGCTTTGCTTCTCCTGTCGCTCTCCCTTGTACTCGGTTGTTGACCCAGGTAGAAAAGTTTTCCTGAGCAGGGCCATATTTGTACCTCTACTCAAGCAGAGACTTCTTGGAAGTTGTAGTAAATGGCTCTGCCAGCCTGACAAGAGGATTGAGGTTTAGCAGAGGCATAGATGTTGGCAGCACAGCACCTCATTTCTATACACCAAGCAGGTAGAACCAGTCCTTGCTCGTGGTGACAGGGGATGGAGTCATGTCTTTCAGCAGATGTGAGCTGGCTGCCTTGGGCGTTCAGGAAAATGCCTGCTATGCCATCCTTCTGTCAGGGTTGATGCAGGCTCTGCTTTAGTCTCTTTTACCTCCCATCTGTGCTGTACCCAGCTCACTGACGGGGAGTTAGTCCAAGTTGCCGGTATTGGGCAGCCCCTTGTGTGCTCAGCTGCCTCCGTTCCTTTACCAGGACACCTGGCGATACCCTGCGTGGTGCAGGTTTAATCCCATCCACATTCCTGCTGTGGCTGTTGCGGGACTGTCCTTTGTGAAGGGGGAGAGCCAGAGCTGCACAACCATGTCCTTTTTGAGCAGCCATCAGTTCAGAGCTCCAGACCCTTCCTCTGATTCACCTAGATGCCAAATCTCCTGCCTCTGGGAGGAGAGAAATGGCTATTTCTGTGTGCCGGGGTCCCTCGTTGCTAGCGCGCTTAATACTATTCTCGATGGCATTAACGAAGGTATTTTTGTCTGAGCACATAATGACTGCCACGACAGCACGTAGCTGTTCCCTGTGGCGAACAATGCCTGGCTTTGTAAAGCCCATTCGGATCCCTTGTGTAAAGCTCGCTTCCCTGGTGCCAGCCCAGTGCAAAAACTTCATTGCAGCACAATGGCCCCTTTAAGACTAAATTTCATAAAGCATTTTTATCTACACTTTCCTAAAATGTAATCTGATAATTAATGGTTTGCTGAATCCATTATGAAGTGCAATTAGGTAGATGCAGGGTTCCTGTGGCTCGGAGGGAACTGGTAGCATTTATCTTCCTTTCCCTCATGCCAGAAGGTTGAACTCTGCCACGGCAATATTTACATACTGAGCAGTGATCCTTGCTGTATCTTGCAGAGCGAGACCCTGTGGTTAGTGGCGACTATTTTATCGCGCTGCCCCGAGCCACAGGAGTGCAAGGGATGAACAGACCGGAGTTTTGCAGCAGCATCTTCTCGCTGCTCGCAACCGCAAGGCAGAGATGGCTGAATATAAACGGGCCAAGGATTTTGTGCTGGTGAGATAATTTGTCACTCCTCTTACAACTTGGAGAATAGAAACCAACTGTCAGGAATTTGCAAATGTGCCATTCTGTGTGATAGGAAGGTATTTTAGGTGGTGCTGGCTGTGGCCCTGCTGAGGTGGTGCATGTGTAGCAGGGTGCTCCCACCTTTCTCTCCCGTGGTTGTACGCAGTGTTTATCCCCAAGGTTTTATGGCCGTGGTGAGGTGGAGCAAGTATGAGGTTAAATTGAATCTAAGAATGACCAGGAGATGGTGCTCAAGGTCTTGAGGATTAGTGCTAATGGCCAGGTGCCTCTGCAACTTTGCTGAAGCTCTTGGTCTCCTTCCCTGGCTGGCTCTTGGGCTGGCAGCTGTGGAAAGCTCTTAAATTGTTATGAAGCTGAGCCAGAAATCCAAGCCATGCCCACTGGTGCTTAAAGAAGAGCCAGAAACAAGTCCAGCTCTGAAGAAGGTGCAAATACAGCTGTTACTGTGAAGCGCTGCAAAAGTCCCTCAGCCAGGAGAAGAGCAGAGAGGGAAATGTTGGAGACAGTATATTCCCCATGCAAGGAGGTGGGAAAAACTCTGCATTCTTTTTCCCCTATGAAATACAACGTGGAGAATGGGATATGTTGCTGCACAGCATCATGTGAAGCAGCTGATTGGCAGGAAAATCTGTATTTCTCAAAATACAGAAATCTGTATTTCTCTTTTTAAAGGTCTTCCCCCAGGTTTTGGGTGACCACTGGCTTGTGGCTTCTGGAGTCTTGTTCATCTCTCACCCGTGGTCCCGTTCCCTGTAAGTTTTGCCAGGCCAGACTGGGGTGTGAGAACATCCTTTGCTGCCTCCCCCTGTTACAGGTGCCAGATGCTTCTGAAAAACAGCACAAAAAGTCTGTCAGAAACCTGCAGAGTCACCTGCTTGTAGAAGAAGCTTGGACATTGTCAGTTCGTGGTGGGTCATGATGAAGATATGAATAAAACGAGTGGGTTCCCAGACTTCCATACATATTTGTGTGTTTAGGGCACACAGGTTAAGCTTGTGACTGGTAGAAAATGTCTACTCCCTGTACAGTTTCATTCACCCCAGCATCTCCTCTGTCCTCTGAAGGATCTTTCGGAAAACAGCATACCATGGCATGAACTAGTGTGAGCAACCTTCTGGTATTTCCCAATGCAAAGAGCAGTTTTCAAGCCTCAGAGTGTTATTTCAGCACTGTACTTGCAAATTTAGTTTTCTAGACTTCCTTTGTTTGAAATCCAACCCATCTGTGATTAGGTGCAAAGACATCGCTGCCCTCCTTAGGAGCATGCCATGGAGGTCGTAGGACAACGGAGCAGGTCCTGAGCTTGCAGAGAGCCCACTCCAACACGTCCCCATCCTCAGGCATCATCCGTGAGGAGAGAGAAGAATAAAAGAGGCCCCCAGTGCTTTGGAAAACCCTCGCTGTGCTTCGTCTCCCCCGTGGTTGACCCTGCTTGCCTGGCAGTCCCTGTGCAGCAGCTGATGCTGATGCTTTGGCACATTTCATTATTGCTCTGGCCACCTGCCAGCGCTTCCCCCCTCCACGAGCTCCGCTCTGAAAAGGGAAGCGATGTTTTCTCCCAGCTCCCAGCTCAGCAAACGCCAGCATTTCCGCAGGGAGAGAAGACGGTTCCGTAGCCGCAGGGAATTCCCTCTGCCCAAATATCGGTAGTTTTCTGCAAACGGTAAGGGCTGGAAAGCTTCCTCCGGAGACGGGCTCTGCAGCCTTTTATAATGGAAGGGGTTAGACTGGCTAATAGGGAGCCTCTCTCATCAGCATGGATGTCTCCAGCCTCCGGTTAATGCCTCTAATCCCCCAGTGCACTCAGCTCAACTCTTGCAGCGCGTTGACACCTCCCAGTTTCCTGTATTAAAGCCATAATTCCCCTTAGTGATTCTTGTAGCCTGTCTTTAACATGTGATGAGGAAGTAGGGGTGGAAGCGTTCACTTTGCCCCCTCTGCCCCATTTCTGGTTATGCCAAGCAGGAAATCTGTCCAGATTTCTCCTCATATTGAAACAAACCTGATTAAAACTGAGCTGACTCTTAATCCACTTAATATGATCTGGATAAGATGGTGCTCAGGAAAGAGAAATCTAAAAGCATCCTGAGGACTGTGGTGGTAAGGGGATGACAGTGGAGCGGTAACAGGTATTTGGGGACCTTAGCAAGCTGCTTTGGGCAGAAACCAGGAGGTTTGGACTGCTGTGATCATCACTGCAACTAGAGGTCATTTTCTCTCCAGCCACTTGCCCACTGCAGTGTACGATGAGTAGATGAAGAACTGAAGATACTGCTGATGTTTATCATCATCCCAAATCAAGGACTGGGAAAAATCCATCTTCTTGCACAAAGACAGAATGGGTCTCTAACTTAGTAGAGGCAAAAGCTCTGAAAGGCAGCAGCAGTAGCCTGGATCTATCTCTTCACCGCTTGGATATGTATAACTTTCCTTTTCCTGGGCATCCTTGAGGTGCCCAGCATTGAGGGCAGTCCACAGGGTGACTTTTTAATTTCTAACACCAATAGTTGCTTCCGATCTTGTTCTTAGACACCTTAAGTTTGCTGCCTTACGTTTCCTTCATGCCTCGGATCAAGGATACTTGGAGCTGTGCAACACATGGCTGGACATGCGGCTGCTCACCATCTGGGCAGGCTGTCTGCTTCTGTCCTCGCTGCATTCCAGCTCTCCCAGGCCTCCTTGTAGACATGGAGGACCGGCTAAGATGTGTCTGTCGGACGTGTCCTTGCTCAGCGCTGGGCGTCGCTGCCAAGGAATTCATTTGCCCAAAGAGGTTAGTTTTAGCTTGGTTACTGTGCCAAAATGCTCCCTCTCAGTCTAAGAGGCTGCTGAGAGCTTCCTGCCAGAGGTGGTGTTGAGTGTCCCCTTGGCTGTCCTAAGGTGAGCAGAGCCCTGTCCCAGTTTCCAAACTACCTCTAGGATCAATCCATACCCTCTCCAGCTGGGTTGAACTTGCCTGTGGACCTGGTGATGGCTCTTGGTGACATGGGAACCTGGCTCTCCCTGTATGGAGAGACAAGGTTGTGCTCCAGGCTGTCCTTTTGGGGACAGTTTCCCAACAGGTTCACTGCATCTCTGCACGTGGTTTCACCTGAACTGCTGTTGTCCCTTGGAGGTGAGCGGTGGTGAAGATCAGCCTCTGGAGATGGCACGTCTGGATGCTCCATTGATGCTCAGGTGAGCTGAGCCTGATGTAGGACTTCTCTGTCTGTAGAGACCTTCCTGCACTGCTGCTCCCAGAGCTGGTAAATAACCTCCCTTCTGGCCTTCTACAGGAGGAAAACTGAGTTTGGTGCTGGGTGCAAATGGGACAGGATTAGTCAATGCTTAATACCAGGATAATATTGCATTCATTTGGCCCATTGCATACCAAAACTGGTGGTGTTTTCCTGTGTTAATTTTCTCCAGGCATTTATTCTCTGGTTTTATTGAGCTGTCCACAGTGACCTGTGGGATTGT